AGAAGTTGTTGGGAGCTAAGGCTCCCTGGCTTGGATGTCTTGCCTGCCCTTCCTTCCTCCTCCCTGCTGGACCACCCAGTGGGAAGCTAAAGGACATGTACATTGTGGCCCTGAGTAGGGTGGGGAGGGGAGACATATCCAAACCAGGGAGTTCACTAGTGGCCAAGGAAAAGGAAAGGGGTGGGACACTCAGATCTTTATGATTTTTCCTTGACACAGATAAATAAGAACAAACCCACACAAAGAAACTGATTTTGACAATAATGAAGTTAATTATTTTTAGTAATTAAAAAAAAAAGACTATCCAAGAAGATGCCCCAGACAGTACTGGAAGGTTGTACCATATGTCAGGCAGCTGAGAGGAACCTAGAGGGGCCTTTAAGCGCGTAATTCTCTAGAGCAAGCACGAGCTACCTCTGTCACCAAAGAAACCTGTTCACTGACAAGATGTTGCCAAATTTTCATTCATTTACATATCCTAATGTAGGGTTTGGACCTTCAGATTCATGAAACAAGGTGACGATAATGAATGCAATCCGCTGCCATTGTTTTCAAGCTTAATATTCTGCCTAGAACCTTTGCAAAGAAATGTAATTGCATTTCAACTACAATGTGAAAGAAAGGCGGGGTGAAGACAGAAGCTCCACCCCAGAGTCTAGCCAGAGGCTGGGAAAGAGATCTGAGGTGCAAGGGCTTCTGGGAGATTTTCCACACATAGGGTCAAAGGGGCAGGTAGAGAATGAGCTTGGGGAGGGTCTCACTGTGTCTGTTACTCAGGAAGCTCTTCTAAGCCCTGTGAAAGGAGCGCAGGGTAGCTGGAGAGAATGGGAGATTACATAACTTTGAACTCCCTGTGGACTGAACTACTGTTCACATGAGCCGATGAAATTAGGGCAACAAAACCAATGACACTTCATTTCTCTAATGCCTTGCTGCTCATACTGCTAGCCCCATGGAAGATCTTCAGGAAATAAGGTTTCATGGTCCTGTAATCCCAGCACTTGGGAGGCTGAGGCAGGAGGATCACCATGAGTTCAAGGCCAGCCTGAATTACATTGTGAGACCCTATCTCAAACAACAAAACAAAACAAAACAAACAAACAAAACAAAACAAAACCCAGGCTTGCACTTGCACTAATTTACTCAGACACCAGTGGACATGGACAGTACTGAGCCTGTTGGCCTTGGCAGCTGGTCATTTCCCATGGTGCAGCCTTAAGCAGAACTCCTAGGTGAGTGTTCTCCGTGATAAGGAGGCCCACTGTTGAGGAAAGAGAACCAGACCTGGGGTATTTACTCCCTCAAGACCAAACATCATCGAAATGTGTCTTTTTTCTTTTTTAAGAGTGACATAGATGATCATATGTGGCCCAACCAAGGCTTCAGTGACCTCTCCTTCAGGTGGCAGGGACAAGACTCACATGCTTGGAGTTCATTCATTCAACAAATGCTTGCTGAGCACCTATTGTGTGCTAGGCACTGGATACCTCAGGGCACAAAACAGGCAGAACTCCCTGCCCTAGAGGAGCTTTTGTTCTTGGGGACAATCCTGTCCCCGCCTCCTTGCATAATCCTGGAGTAGTATGGGACCCCCTTCATCCTTGTGGCCATTGCTGCTTGGGCCAGGAAGAGACATAAGATCTAGGGGAAACCAATTCAATTCACAAGCTGAGTCCAGGCAATCCATTTCAGGGCTCAGGCCCTGAGTCCAAATCTCAACTTCTCTTCCTACAAGCTGGGTGATGCTAGACAAGATATCTAATCACTCTAAGCTTCTATTTTCTCATCAATTTTCCTCCTAAAGGAGAAGAAAGCTTGCCTTGTAGGATTACTTAGAGAATGAAATGAGAAAACTCCAATAAAGACCTTGGGTGAGTACCCAAACCCAATCGTCTGTGTGTGAGGTTACCAATGGGCCATGACAGGAAACATGGCTCCTGGACAGGCAGAGGCTAGATTAGTTGTCAGGGCCTGCAGCACCTATTAAGCTTGGGAACAGGCTGCCATTTTGGGCCAGTGAACTGGAGACCCTGATGAGCAAACTGAAAGACTTATCTCCAAGCCAATCAGAGAAATGGTGCAGAAGGGCCGGGAGAGGTAGGCAGGACGGAGAGACAGAGGGATCAGACATCACTGTGTCTCATTTCCTGTTGGAGTCTTGGTAGCCTTTGGTCTCCATGGTGTCTCCCAGATTCCCACTAACTTCAGTTATTTTGACTGTGTTTTCTGTGCCTTAAAAGCAAGTAAGCTCTGAACAAGCCGAGGTATCCTAAGTGTGATCTAATGAGCAAAAGAAAAGCTATTTACAGCAAACACAGGCCAGAAGAAAACAAATGTGCTTCCTCTGCCTGGCTTCCCCTCACAAACTGGGCCTGAGCTCAACCTCCCAGGCCTTGGAGAAGGAAGAGGAAGGAGGTGTTTGGGAAGGAGGCGAAAGGCCCAAGTATCTCAGGAAGGGAACCCAAAGGCTCTCCCTGCAGCTTCTCTGCCAGGCCTGAGGGAAGGTGTCCAGAACTCATTAGCAGGTCCCCAGGGCCGCTTCCTGTAATTCTTCAAGGCAGAGAAGGTCACTCAGAGGGGCAGAAGACATCTGCTGTTTCTTCCCCTGATGGAGATGGAGGCCTCATTCAGCTAAGGGGAAGCCGGGAGACATTCCAGATGAGCTCCCCTCTGTCCCCTGTCCTGGAAGGAGGGCGGAGCACAGTTTGCTCTGTGTGATCCCTTGGGTGGCACTTGCACTGCCTGAGCAGCGTCCAAGCTTAGAGAAAGTGGGAGAACACAGGGCTTGGGGCAGAGGCCTGCAGATGCCAGTGTCGGCCGGGTGGCAGCAAGAGTTTTGGGGCGGGGCGAGGGGGAGAGGCGGTGCAGAATAGACAGCAGTCTGAATGCTACGTCTTAGTCACTTGTCCATCACTGGGACAAAATGCCCAACACTCACAACTTAAAGGAGGGGAGGTTGATGTGGCTAGCAGTTTCCAGTGGGTTCTGTCCAAAGTCAGCCTTCTCCACGGCAGCAACAGCATGTTGAAGGGGCCTGGTGGCAGATAGTTGCTCAGCCATGACGGACAGGAAACAGATAGAAAGGAGGAGCCGGGGACAAGAATACACCTTTCCAGGTCACACAGGCAGTGTGACCTCCACCTTCTAACAGCACATTCAGCTGCTGATCTCATCAGTGGATGAGCCCCCTGATGAGCATAGTGCTCCCATGATCCAGTCACCTTCTGCATATGTGAGGCTTTGGGGGGGACATCATGCCAAGGGGCTGAGAGCAGCCACAGATCACTGGGTTGGGCAATCTACCCATGTTCTGGGTAGATTGTGCTGAAAGCAGCAGGAAGCTCGGACTAACGATAAGGTGTGGTTTGATCACGAGGCTGAGAGACTGGGGTCACACACGGCCTCTCATGAGGCTGATGGCCTAGAGTTGTTGGCCTACAACTCTGCCAGCTCCCTGCCCACCCACCTACCCACCTTATGCCAGCCATACAACTGAGGGCTGGGCCTGCAGGTGGGGCAGTAAGCATACGGAGAAACGGGTTAGAAATAAGGACAAACTCACAGGCAGGCCAAGGTATTTATTCATTCAACAAACACTCCACTTCCTGCATATCTAGGCTAAGCCCTGAGCAGACACTTCAAGCCCTCCAAAGAGTTGGACCTGGCTGCTGCTGCTCCTAAGCCCCAGATCCCCACTGTCCTCTTTTTCCTTCTCTTGTTTATAAATTTTAGGCTCTTTCCAGTACACAAGTGCTTATCACATGAGTTTCCTGTGGATGCCATAACAAATTACAAAAAATTGGTGGTTTAAAGAGGTAAGAATTGCTTCTCTCACTGTCTTCCAGGTGGCTCCCAGGCCATACTTTCTCTGTAGGCTCTGGGAGATCCTCCTTTGCATCTCTTCTAGCTTCTGAGGTTGCTGGACAGCCTTGGCTTCCCTTGGTTTGTCCACATATCACTCTGTCTCTGTCTCCACGGTCACACTGCTTTCTCCTCGAGTGTCTCCCTGGGCTACTCTGAGGCCCTTGCCTTTGTAAGGACACCAGTCACATTGGATTAGGGCCCACACTCATCAAGAGTGACTTCATTTTAACTTGCTTATGTTTGAAAAGATAACTATTTCCGAATATGATCACATTCACAGGTAGCAGGAGTTAGGATTACAGAGTGTCTTTTTGGGGACACAATTTGACCCATAACACTTATTATAGAGAAAAATTATAGAAAACACGGGTGAGCAACAATTTATAATTAAGTAATGAAAAATTTGCATCACCCAGAGATAACTTCGTTAACATTTTGCAATGTGCTCTTCTAAATGTTCTGCTATCTATACAAAAATATGTTTTTTTGTAAAATTCAGTTAGTGCTTATAATAGGAACCTATGTATTTTACTGATGACATATGGTTCTTGTTCAGTTTTCCTCACTCTGGCTTATATTTTCTTTTATACCTGGGAGTTGCCACCTATGTGCCCTTCTGGATGCATAATGATATGATATTATGTAGCTACAGTTCATTGAGTTATCACCGGAAGGACCAGGTCCTTGTGCATATTGTGTTAATGGAAACAACACCACCCTGTGAGGTTGATACTATTGGCCCACTCTGCAGATGAAGAAGTTGAATTGGAAGAGTTCCCTGCCACAGGTCACACAGCCAACAATCAGCCACTCAGGATCTGTACCTTTCAAAGCTGCCTGCGCCAGTGGGTATTTCTAAGCTGGGGTGTTTCTATGTAAGATTCACTTTGGCAGATCATGATGGGTGTGCATGAGGGAGAATGTGCCAGGTGAAAAGGCAGGTGAAGGGTTTCTAGGGAGGATGTGAGAGCAAGGTTGCCAAAGAGCAGAGCAGCTTGCCCTAAGAGGGAGAACGAGCTGTCTGCTGGAGTGCAGCACAGCCCCTGAGGCAGGGAGTGGCCAGGGAGAGGTTGGCTGGGTCCAGCAGGAGCCTGAGCATTTTCCAGAGAGCAATAGGGAGCCCTGGAAGTGTCAGCAGGGAGCGAGCCTGTGTTCTGGAAGGCTCTTTTAGGGTGCAGAGTGGAGAGTGGGTGGGAGAGACTGCCTGGGATAGAGATCAGGGAGAAAGGGAGGCAAGTTGGCCAGCTGTCCAAGGAGAAGTGGGGGCAAGGGAAGCAGAACAAGGCCTGGAAGACCTACAGCTGTTTCCCTCACCTTTGGAGGACACAGGGGTATGAGCCCTGGGTAAGTCCACATCAGACTGAGCCAGCAGCTACCTGGGGGCATCCACTGCCATCTGTCCTCTTTCTTGGCAGAAGACCTCCCAGCTGGCATCCAGCTGGGTCTCAGACTGGGCTGGCTGGAAGCCTGGCCCCACACCACTGGGAGGCAGAGAGGGAAGCAGTGCAGTCTATGTACTGTGAACACAGGAGGGAACACTTAGGGACTGACAGAGAGATGCCCTCCAAAGGGTGGGAGAGGGGCACTAGCCCTGACTCCTGCTCAAAAAGATCTGGCAGCTGACCACAGAGAAAACAAGCCCTTCTCTGGGTGAGGGAGTAGGGGTTGCTGCTTGGGGTCTACCCCACTGTTCTTTGCATCCCCAGACCTGCACCCTACATAGTGGGCCTAGCGTGAACTTCCAAGTCCTAGGCAGTGTCCTGTCTACAACGAAGAGGTGCCCTTGCCTACCCCAGGGACATAGGACTGTGTGCGCGTGCGCACGAGCGCGCGTGCACACACACACACACACACACACACTAGTGGTATGGTCCACCCTTAGGAAGGGACTTGGGTCCTCTGGGAAGATCTGGAGGTGTAGGCAGAGAATTCTGGGGTCCTAGGTACCTGGAGAGAAGGGGGTTGTGCCTCTGGGTTTCTGGCTTGGGCTGAATGAGGGAAGAGAGGTACTGCTTCTGGGTTGGGGAATGTGAGAAAAGGGAAGAGGTATTCAGGGTAGGGGGAGACAATGAATAAGCAGGTGGTCTTGAGGAGCTTGTGGACAGAGGCGATTGAGGGGTAGCTCTCCAGCCCAGGCTTAGCTAGAGCCCAGAAAGGACCCCAGCTGCTGACACCCACCACCCCAGGGAAACAAGGGCTGCCTTCCAAACTCCTAGGCTGGGTGGGGCTTCTCTTCTCAGGCTGCCAAGGTCATTAGGGTTTGAAGTATCAGGGGATGGTCAGCCCTGTCTCCTCTGGTCCCTCCCCTGGCCCGCCCTGCCCTGTGAATGGTCTCTGTGGGGCTGGGCCTTCCAAGAAGAGGAAAAAACAAGATGTCAGCTTCAAGGTCAGAGCATATTTCTAAGGAGTGTCTGGAGGTGGAAGAAGAGGCAAAGCCATCTGAATTTTAAACCTGGATAGGCCAGAGCATAAAGAACTCTAGAATAAGAACAGGAAGGGAGCTGTACTGATTTGGTCTTGGATTGATTGTGATAAAATTGCCCTTTTAATCAATCATGTTAAAGTATACAGTTGAGGGGTATTAAGTGTATATGCAAGCCTCACTATTTAGTTCCAGAACTTTTTAATCACCCCAAATGGAAAACCCATTAATTACCATTGATTGAGGGCCTACGATGTGCCAGGCACTGTGCTAGGGCTTTATTTTCCTTAACTCAATTAACATTTTTTGTGAGAAGAGTCCATTTTACAGATGAGGAAAGTGAGGCTCAGTAAAATATATCAATGTGCCCAAAACCATGCAGTTCTGAAGTGTCCAAGTCAGGATTTGCATCGAGGTGTATCTAACTTCAGTGCCTACCACATCTTAGAAGGGCAATTGGAAGATTCTGAGACTGGCATGAGTTAATCAGCTGTCACTGTGACAAAATACCTGAGATAATCAATTTAATGAAGGAAAAACCTTGACTCATGGTTTCAGAACTATCAGTCCATGGTCTACTGGCCCAGCTGCTTGGTTGGGCCTGTGGTAAGGCAGCACAACATGGTGGGAGTGCATGATGGAGGCAGCCATTTTCCCCAAGACAGCCTGGAAGCAAAGAGAGAAAGAAGAGGAGCCAGGTTCCCAATAGCCCCTTCCAGGACACCCCCAGTGACCTACCTTTCTTCTGCCAGGCCCCAGCTCTTAAAGGATTCACCACTTCCCAATAGCACCACAGGCTGGGGCTTTTGGGAGCACATATCCAAATCACAACATGGAAGATATTGCACAGATAGGACAATGAACCCCACTGTTCGCTGTGGGTATGTCTGGCTTGATTCATACACAAGCCACAGAAGAGAGGAGCAGACTTAGTAAGGAGCATTAACAAGTTGGGGAACTATCCAGAGGTCCTAGGGGACCCATGCTGGAGACAGGGCTCAGCTAGGGGAGCCAAGGAAGCATAGTAGTGTGTTCAGGCTTTTAACCTATTCAGTATAACCCCAATGAGGCATTGAAGGTAGAGAACAGTGCTGGGGTACAGTGCTGGCCCCACCTAAGAAGAGGACCAGGATCCTGGGCAAGCAGGAACCAGGAAGACACACTATGTGACAGGCCAACTTGATGGTTGGTAGGAGCACCACTGGGAGGCAGGGCCTGGCTCTGGATCCCAAACTGTTCTTACCAGGAACTGAAGTCCAAGCAGGAAATGCTCATGGCTCTCAAATCTGCATCTCCAGTGACTCTGAAAGACTCTGACTTTATTGGTGTAAAGTCCTCAGGCAATGCCTATCCAGCAGGAAGACAGAGAAGCTCTCACCTTCTCGTTTCTTCCCTTGTGTGTGCCTGCAAGCACATCAGATATGAGTGGGCTCTTAGACACCCAGTTTTGCCACCTGTCATTTTTCTTCCTACTCAAATATGTCATGGAAATCATCCCAAGTCATTTTATACATCATCCTTTATAGAGAAGATACACCATTCCATTGTCTGGCTGCTTCTTAGTTTGTGCGACCCAGTGGTTCTCAGCGGGCAATAGCTGGAGACACTTTGGATGTCACAACTTGAGGGACAGGGTGCTAGTGGCATCTAGTGGGTAGGGGTCAGGGATACTGTGAAACATTGCACAATTTACAGACAACTCCTCATGACAGAGGTCAAAAGTATGAGGTTGAGAAACCATGGTCTAACCAATTCCCTACTGATGAGCGTTTAGCCCACCGTCAGTGGCTTCCTTGGTGTGTTATCACAGTGTTGCTTCACAAATTCCTCACTGGTGAATTCTCCTACTTGCTAAGACTCATTGGTGACCCCAAAGTGTGCTCGTGGTCACTCTCCAAGATGTACACAGGCTGGCAAAGCTTTTGAGTCATGGCAGACGACCTTCCCAGGTGGCATCAAAGCATTGCTCTGCGGTCTTGTCTCACTCTCTACTGTAAACAAGTGACCTTTAGCAGTTTATTTAGCACCATTTCACATGTTTCTGCTTTTGTTGGGGATGTTGATGTTTATGCTGAAGCCCTGTCTATTGTTCTTCAGTGCAAGAAGCCTGCAATGTGCCTTCGCAAGAAAATAAGAGTGAGTTTGGTGTTGATACAACACAGTCTATTGAGTAAACTGTTTTTAAGCACAAATGTACATACACCAAGGTTATGTATCCATCAGTTGGTAAATATGTGACCAGAAGCTTACAATACGCTAACCATGTATTTCCCCTAGGAGCAAGGATTGGTATGTGCTAATTCAGTGTTCACAGTGACTTTTCAGCATGTAATTACTGCAACTCATGGAACGTGACTGCATAACCCGCTTGTCTTCCAGGTGAGCCTGTAAGTGGGGTGGTCCTTTTGAGTTTGAATTCTTCTAATCAAATCACCACCCAGCAACCACGCCCTGGATACATTACACTCTTATCCATAGGGTATCAGAGTGCCAGGTGCTCATGCCTGCCAGCATGAAGTATTGTTCATTTTTTGTATCTTTTCTAGCTACTGACCTTTTAAAAATCTCTCTATTGATAATTTCTTCAGTTCCAAGAGAAAGCACATAGGAAGGAAAAGTCATTATAATTTGTACATTGCTTATCCAACAGCTAATCTATTTCAAATTTTCCTCAAAATATTTAACAGGCTAATTAATAAGCTGCCAAGGTTTTTAAATGTGTGGATTTGGGGCTGGAGGTGTGGGTCAGGGTAGAGAACTTACCTAACATACAGGAGGCCCTGAGTTCCATCCCCGGCACTACACACACACAAACACAAACACAAACACACACACTCACACATGCATGCACACAACAATGGGGGAATATATAATTTATTAAATTTATACTTTTTTGCATTGCTAGGGATGGAACCCAGGTCCTGCTCCATGCTAGGCAAACATACACTTAGCTCAATATCCCCACACATTAATTACAAACTTAACAAAATAAATCCTTTGCACATCTATTATATCAAGTTCTCATAGGTGCTTTCAATGCCTTAAAAAGGAGACAATTACAAAATACTAAAGCTGATAAGCACAGTTGCACTAGACAAAATGAACCACTGGTAGGAGTACTATCACCTGACGATTTGTCTCTTTATTATCTCTATTCTAATTTTTAATTTTATCCATATCTTATTCATTTACTATCTCTTGCCATTTCTTGTTTCTTTCTGGGGCTACAGTTTTACTTATTCCACCAAAGAATGGAGGTTTTCTACTCAGTTTGCCTGAGTTGGCAGATCCTGGCAAAGGGTGGGTGATTGGGAACCTTGATTTGTGAGTCCTGAGTGCATCTTTTTGGCCCTTACGTTACAGGGATGTTCTGTCCATTGCCTACTATTTCCCCAGGCAAAACTGCCTCATTTGGATCTCTTCATTTTTCGTTGCCTTGGTCCCTTCCTCCCCAAGGAACTCTTGCTGACATGACCTTATCTCTGTGGAACAACCTGACAGAAGTCTTCTTTGCAATCATTTGTTCTGAGTGCTTCGTCTGCACAGCACATTTGGTCATCACACCACTGGGAGATAGAACGTCTCGAGGTTCTCCTTTATGTTTTACAACCTGAGTGGTTTTATTTCATAAAGGCTTTTGGTGAATGGGTCTGGCCTGGTTTGGGTAAATTTCAGGCATCTGGCTATCAAAATTGCAGTTTCTTCCTTATCTACCAGGAATCTTATGGTTCTGACACTAACCCAAAGGGTCATCCTTTAAGGAGTTTCTCGGTGTCCCACCATGGGGACAAGCCATATTACGGAGCCAGCGGTCTATTGCTTGACACCTAGTTGCTTAAAGTCTTTCACTACTAGAGTTATGCTGCTATGGATATTCTTCTACATGCATCTTTGTGTATCATCTAATTATTTCTAAGAGGGGAACTTTCTAGGTCTAATCTTGAAACCGTTGTCAGCAATACAAAAAATCATATTCTCTTTTGAGAGTCCAAAATTTGATTTCTGACTGTGATTGACAGGTGGAACGATCTGGCAGCCCAGGCCCATTTCTGCAAGATGATGAGCTGACTGGAGTCTTCTCCCTCTAGAAACTGTTCTCTGAGAGCCTCACTTGACTCTTTTTCACATTTGCAAGGCCTGTGTGGCTTTCATAGATTTTAAGTTGTAAACCCTGGTTATGTGAGCCCTGGAGTCTTTTGATCTGAGCACTGTAAAATGGCTGATTGAAGTCATCTGATTGACGTTTTCATCTACATTTACTAAATGATCAGTGCGGTGAGCCCATCCTTGCATGTTCATTAGCCACTGGTGCATCTTATTTTGTGACTTGCCTGCTCATGCTCTTTGCTCTAATTTTCTATTGGGCTGTCCATAAAGGCTTTTATTCTTTTAAAGTTAAAAGAAGAAAAAGAAGAAAAGCTTCCCTGCCTTAAATTAGCCTGGCTTGGATAGCAGAAAAATAGCAGCTGCCTTGTGCACACGCAGGAGGTTTCTGAAGTTGCATGAGCTGATTTGAGGGGCAGGAGCTGACAGGTCGGCAGCCTGACACTTCATAGGCCATACCTGGATAAGGCATGGGCCAGAAAAGGAATGCAGGCTGAAGGCAGAATATTGGGAAAATGCTATTTTAGGTCAACCCCCATCCTTTGATATGAACACTATTTTACAGCCTATGGAGGGTTTTGTAGGCAAAGAACACTGGACCGGGAATCAAACAGATCTAGGTTTCAATCCTTGTTCTGCTACCCTTCAGCTGTGTGCTATTGGATAAATGATTTCTCTCTGAGCATTTTCCCCCTCCTCCATGCTGCCTCAGGGTTTTCTCAAGGCCCCAAGTATTTGCAACCACAGCCAAAAAAGAGCTGGGAGTGCAGCTCAGTGGTAGAGCACTTGCTTAACATGCTGGAGGGCCTCAGTTCAATCCCCAGCATAAAAAGAGAGAGAGAGGAGGGTGAAGGAGGAAGAGGAGGAGAGGGAGGGAGAGAGAGAGAGAGAAAGAAAGAATACATGATTCTGGGACTGGAAGAACTGGGTTCAACAATCTAACTCTGGCATTCATGGTCTCTGGTCCTCAGTTTCTCCATCTGTAAATGAGGGCCTTATGGATGCCGAGGATGGACTCTCTGGTACTATAGGATAGGAGTCAAAGTAACTTCTACCACTTTATTTTGAATCCCTGATTCAGACAATCACTTAGATTTGATTCATGTAGTTCAGTTCAATATACAAAATTTAATTCAGATCAATACTCATGTTTTGAGCCCCTTCCATGTGCCAGGCACAAGCTGGATCAGGGACTTCAGAGAGGACCAGAGTGAGTACAGGCCTACAGGATCCATAGCTAGAATAAGGGAAATTAATACCCTGTAAATTTCTGGGCAACCAGAAGACATTTAATTGAGCCTTGGGTCCAGAAAGGCTTCCTGGAAGAGGAGATTTGGCCCCAAGAATCAGTGGGGCTCAGGTAGCCCAGGAGAAAGGAACAGCGTAGGCAAAGGCTCCAGAGTGAGATGAAGCATGGCAGAGCAATGGGGATGGAGAGCCATGGAAATGGCAGAGTTGGGGTATGGGATGGCTACAGAGGTCTGTGGGGCCAGATCAGGTAGGGCTTTGCAAAGATGCTAAGGAATCTGGACTCCTTCCAGGCAGGGAAGGGTTTGGATTATGAGACTGACAAAACCAGCTCTATATTTTAACAAGAGCCCTCCAGGCTCCTGAGAGGATGCTTCAGAGTGGACTGGAGTGGGATACCAGTGCGAAGGTGAGGGGGTACCCAGAGAGGAAAGTGGGTGAGTTTCTACTGCCAAGTGCTGGCTTGCATGGGGCATGCGGGAGAGGAAGGCTTAAATGGGAAAGCAACTTTGGAGGAGACAGCCTCGTGAGTGGGGTGGCTGAGTACATTTGACAGGGATGACCTCAGAAGCCTGGAAAATGGACTTCATGGCTGACAGATTAATTCACACATTCATTTATCCACTGTGGCCCCCTTGGGCCAGGCACTGTGCTGGGCCAGCTGGTAATAAAGTAGACCAGGATCGCAGCCCTCAGGGAACCTCTGGACTTTAATGGTGGGGGAGGCAGTAATAAATGCATTCTTCATTCTGCCTACAGAATACTGTGAAGAAAAACCAGCAGAGATGGGAGTGGGGCCGTGCTAGGTCCTGAGTGGGTGACAATTCCAAAGGGGTAATCGGGGAAGATCTCACAGACAAGGAGGCTTGGGGAAATAACTTGTCCATTAGTCTCTTCCTGCACATCCATTCAACTACACATCCAAAGATTTGGCGGGGGGGAGGGGGGGTCCACCAGAAGGAGGAAGCTCAGGAGGCCACCCCAGAACTTAAATGCCATCTACGGTGGGCATCTGTCCTCTGGAGATGAGTTTGAGGAGAAGCAGGGGACCAGATGTGCTACAGTAGGGAACCCCAAATCTGGCAGGTTGCTTTGGGGGAATCATTAGCAGCACAAACGAGGTGAGGGTGGGAAACTAAACAGGACAGCTGTTGTTTGACTTAGGCTTCTTTTCTTCTTTTTTTAAATCAAGTGTTTTCAACTTTATTTAAAAGGCTTATGGTATATCATGACCCAGTGCCTCCTGCCCTAGTCTGTTGTCCTGTCTCCTCCCCGCAGCCTGGCTGGTGTCTAGTGCAAATCTTTCCCAGGGGTGAGCAGGCTGGAGCTCAGAACCATGAAACACAGCGGCTGGGAGCATCTCACCAGCCTAGAGGCTCAGGCCTGGATGTTTATGGTGGGGGAGGCAGTAATAAATGCATTCTTTATTCTGCCCAGAGAATACTGAGAAGCAAAGCCAACAGAGATGGGAGTGGGGCTGTGCTAGGTCCTGAGTGGGTGGCAATTCCAAAGGGGTAATCGGGGAAGATCTCACAGACAAGGAGCCTGAGCCACCTCTGACCCACCCAGCAGCCAGGGGGCAGCCACCTCACTTGGCTGAGCCTCTTTTTTCCCCCCTCTTTGTAAAATGGCTACAAGAGCCCATCCTGATCTATTTCAAGAGTGGCTGGAGATCACCCAGCGGTCTACTGAGCATATGTTAAGAAGAAGCAGCCTAGGCCCACCCTCTGGAGGTACAGGCTGCAGAAGAGATGGACCTCAGAGATGAGCTAGCTCCAGAGGAGCTGCTGCAGCAGGCTGTGGGCACACAGACATCCAAGCCATGGTGAGCTTGGAGAGGAGACAGGGAGCAGGGAACCACCCAGCTGCAACAGGCTGAGTCCTACGGCCGCTTCCTTGGGACAGGAACACAAGCAGTGCGGTGGACGATGATGTAAAAGACCTGGGGATCAACCACTACTTGTGTCCTTACAGTGTAGGTTTTATTATTGTTGTTCAGGTCTGGTGAGGCCAGCAGCCAAGGGGAG